GTTAGTCATTCTAGTAAACTAATCACCGAATACGAGATAAAAAGTTTCTTCACTTAAAAAGTAGCTATATAGTTAGGCAGTTCTACAGTAGGCTGGTTGTAAGTTCTCAAACGAGATACGAAATTTGACTCGTAAATGAACGTCTGAATCTCTATCCGTTTGCAGTAACGTGAGTGTATATCTGTACTGCTAACTAAATACAGGTAAAAGCTCTACAGAATGAGAATAACTACTGACTCTAACATTAGCTGAGGTCAACTGAAAGCTCAATGTATCTTGAAGATTATCCAAGATCTCGATTTTCTTGAACATTTGAAAGGCGTTCTCCGAGTAATGGCGGCAGAGCCCAATATTCAATCAGGATCTTTGCGTTTGTTTGTGGTAATGTTTGAACACATGGCGATTTAATGATGGGTTTTCTGTCGTTACGAGAGAGATTTTGAAACTGTTCAACAAAGCTGTTTGAGCATTGTCAACAAATCAACAGTTGAATAAATTTTTGACGATCATTATTATTTCCAGGAAAGCCCTGTCACTCATAAATCTCTCTCACCTCATGACACTTATTATGAAAATACAAAGATAGGAATGTAAGATAAGTTTACTTATCTAACTACCAGTATACAATTTGAGTGTATATTAGTCGGGATGAATTCGTTAGAAATAAGTGGGTAAGTCAAGCTGAACTAGTACACTTTTTTGTGATTGTTTCAGTTCTAACTGATACCACTTCACTGGTTAAAAATGCTCAAGTACGAGTTTGAAAGGTCCCCATGCACTCATCAAATGTTTTTAAGTGACAACCTGACTTTAGCCGCCGGTAAAGAATTTTTTAAACTAAGTTTGCTTAACAGAATTGTGGTTAACGAAATTGAAATTACATGGTGTGGATGTCATATCAAGTAATTATAAGGGTTAGTTAACACCGAAGAGTTGGAAGATCGTAATCTTTCGGCGACAGTATTCTGAGTCTGTCGGATGTCGACATATATATTCATATAATATGAATTGCTTGTGGCTGCTGACAGCAACAAATTTCCCGTTATTCAAAAGTTGTTTTTATTTATATACTACTCATTTTATTTAAGTACGTTTTCAAATAATAATACACATAGCTTTACACAAGTAGCATGAATAGTGTACGTTCATTTTTCCATTCCTCGCTGGATGCCGAGATCATCTGCGATAACAGCTCGTAAAAGCAGTGGCTTTTTGTCGAGGTCACAGTAAACGGTGGATAAATTTTAGTAACCGCTGGAGCGTATATAGGCGTCGTACCAAAAGCGAGTGATAATCAACGAAATATCGTTAGAGCACCAACATTTGAAGCTGGTCAAGTGACTATGTGCGTGTGATGTAAGTGATTTCGAAGCATTAATTACGCAAACAGGACTAATAATGACGAAAAAAATTAACATGTATGGTTTGTCTTAAGTACCACTACTTCATTTGAGTCGGCGTTCTCTTTCTACCACTGCCCTATTCTGTGGAACCCTACACTATTCAAAGTTGTCTAGATATCTTATAAATCATACCACTCCAAGATCATGAAGCAAATTCTGTAAATGATAATCATATTTAGCCTCTAATTAAACTTACTAACTACAGATACTTTACTATAACGATATTCTCTTTAAATTAAATCAATTCGCATAGTACGTCATACAAACAATAATGATGTGCTACAATCGTGACCGATTCCTAAGTACTATCGAATACATGCCGAGTAGGTATATACAATCGTGAAACAGTTATATTCCCTGATATGGAAAGTCGCTTATTTGTGATACACCTACCTACATTGATTTGTTCGAATTCATATTCCGAAACACATGGAAGTTATGAAAGTTCGTTAGGAAAAAATACTGAGGTAATATTTGTCTTAAGCAAACTGATATGGCTATGGAAACGGTAATTTAAACATATTCTATATGATAACAGGTTGTCTACTTCTCTTGAATTATTAGTTACCAACTAACGCTATAAATCACCGTTACATGAGTGAAGCATGTACTTCTTCAACAGAACTCTCAAGATGATGTAACATGATAGTGAACAAATTGTTGTTTATCGAACTGTTCATTTATGTGAAATCCGGCATTCTCTATATATTTATTCTTCGTAGTATATCCATGTTCTAGTATTTGTACAGAAACTCAACTCTCGCCTCCTAATCGGGCGCGTTACGCAGTCATCATCTGATTGCGGACTCCATGGATGACAAAGAAACATTCATATTCATATTATTGATTGACATATATAATAACATCAGATTACGTTTGTTTTATTTTATTAGATCGAAGAAATGATAAATCAAGGAGGAAATCATCGTGAACATTGATTGATTGATTACAGTTGTAATCAAATTCCAAGAGTTTTAGATCATTTGCCACAAATTCGCAATTTATCACATGTGAAATCAGAAATACTGGTCAGTCCGAGGTTAGACATTCAACATGCATATAGAAACAGCAGAAAATAATTAAACCTTCGGCGTATATTAATTGAAAACATTTGGCGACCAGTTAATTGAACAATTACGATAACAATCCCATGAACAGTTCACTGAACAATCCCATACACATGATTGAAAACATATTGCTGAACCCAGCATTACCGACTGATAGAATATCAAATAAAACATTGTGTACAAAAATATTGATGCCAATGCCTTGATCGGATAGAAGAGAAGATAACGTGATTTTCCAACTGTCAAGTGACTTAAAAATATTGTTATCTGTAAAATAAATGTAACACACATATATTTTGAAAAACTTACAGATAAGGTAAATTATTCAAATAAACAAGGGTATCAAGTCTCTTTTTCAAGAACGGACACTTGGTGAATGAAATAAATTTCCTAGTGACATTACTGTTATTTCATATGTAAGGAGATTAGCGACCTGAACAGAATTTCAAGTTCACTTGATAAATAGATAGATTCTGGGTGAGGCAGAATGCAGAACGAAATTGTCTGCACTTACATAAAGTGGAAATCATTCACTGTATCACATTAAAAGCGGTGGTGTTATTTGTCGCCTATAGAATTTTTTTAACTGGATAACAAGAATTACCGATGCGATAACAAGTGTTGAACAAGACAATTATGGGCAAAGAATAAAACAGTATTTGACTATCTTCTTTCGTCTTCTGTTCCATAGATACTTCAAAAGGAAAAAGTTTGAAACTGCATCAAAGATTGAAATGAACAAAATTGTCAATTCACATTTTTGCTAATATAGTATCTGTTCACTGCGAAAGTTGATTACACGTTTCATATCCTTAACTGTTGTTTTGGTAATTATTGGAATGATGCAGATCTCTGATAAGTGTAGGTCATAACACTACCTGGAAACGAGTCAGAATCATACAGAAGATGATTGTTTTGACGATCGCTCTTAATCGTTTTAGTTTGAATAAATTTATTCATGTCAAAATTCGTTTATATGAAGCTTAAAAATGGTAATACAACATAAAAATACATCTGTTTCGTACTCGATGGAATCATTCTGTAAATAAAAATAGTAGACACAGGAAAAACAAATGTATCAGCTTGATAGTGTGCATTAGTTCCACATGGTTTAGTTCTCGTCAGATGTTTAAAACCTGCGATATTTGCAAAGCATTTTTCAGATCGGATTAAAACAATCACTTGGAAATATTTATTAGGCAGTTGAAGCACAAAAGCTTGGGTATAGCATGGATAGAGCATGAATGATTTGGAGAGTCTGAATAGAATATTGTAGATACCCGCCCCAAGCACTAGAATATTCTACAACAATGATGATAACTAATGTCTTTAGTGGGGAGGATCAAGTGGTTCCTACTTTATTGAACATGATTTATAAAACTATGTGAATGAAATGTAATGAAGATGAATTATACTTACAATATACAATAATATCTCTGCAACAATATCAAGACCAAACAAAGCATTCTGCAAATTAATAACAACGATAGGGTCATCAATATGAGTGAAATCAACTGTGCTCTTTTTTTATAAAAATCAAATATGACGTCTCTAAACTAGACGAATACGAAATCGTGATAAAAAGTTTGTTCTGTCTGATGTTCGTTATCAGTGTAAGTGGTCGATGTGTTATTCAGGAAAGTGGTAGAAATGGTAACAAGCTAACTGAAATATGTTCTTCTTGTATCATAGTTGTAAGCGACTCATCTGTTGATCTTGTCGTCAGGATGGTGGATAATGTCCAGATATTTTAGCTTCGCATCTCTCCTGAGATCTCTTCTATCACGTACTCTGTGATCAGTTGTGCGTAAACAGGTGAATAGTTTCATAATGATCAAATAGAAACGCTAAACATGCTTGTGATGTTAGGCTACATTGATGAGGAATAAACATACTTTGATCTCGAAATACGTTTATGAATATGATTTCTTGTTGTGTGATTGACATTAGGGTGCTTACCTACATAAAGATCATGATGCAACCAATTTTATAGTTAAACATCCAAATAAAAGGAAGTGCATACTTGTGGTTTTCGGATTATCGATTGATACATTCGACGATAATTTACTTGTTAAATATTGTTGCGCACAAATTGCACAGCTCTTTTTATGTATTTCTGTTTTTTTTATATCAATAATGTTTTTACTGGATTGTTTACTAAGACTGCCTAAATGGATAATACATTATGTCTACATATATCAGCGTCAGAGCTCGGTTCATAGCAGGCTCATAGAATAGACACCAAATAATTTGACCTTGATCAACCGGAAACAAATTCAGAATGTCTGCGTGTAGTCTGCACTAAAAAGGCCCACCTACCTAAAATTTTTGACATTCACCAAAATAAATCCTTTCAGAATTGTGAGCTTCGCGGTTGTTGAGTAGTGAACATCGATAGAAGATTTAAGATTCAGAGATCGCATTGCACAAACGATAGACGTTTTGCGTTTTACACATATAACAAATGAATGCTGCATATAATAATCAATAAAATGTCATATTGAGAAAATAATTTTATTCATATCGGTACCTTTACTCCCACAGCGTCTAGTATGATCATAATGATCACAATAACAGCCCATATGACACCAAATGATAACAAGATATCTCTTGCTTTATCCAATGAACCTGTACTAATAGCTGAACCAATCAAGAACGCAGACAGGAAGATTGCCAAACTGATTACGAAGATGACAATAGTAGTATTGGGACTTAACACTGTATTCGAAACGCCAAGTACAATAGCCATACATGTTGACTGAAATATGGAATGAATGCGAAAGTTTTGGTCTGACGTTTCCAAAGATATTCGGTTATATAAGAACGTTTGTTTTAATTACTGTTTGTAAATCATATACAAAAAGATAATTGATCAATCATTTTCTTAAGCGGACAAATCTTGATCTAAAGAGTGCGTATTATCTGTAAACACTGCTCAGTTGTGTGCCCGATTTGAAAGACTGACAAACTGATGATTGTTCAAAAACTACTTTTGATTACTTTTGTAACTCTGAACAGATGTCATTCATAGAGGAAATTTTCTTTTTAAGCATTGAGACATTTGAGAGCATTTTAAAATGCAACGTTACTCAAAACAAATAAAAGAAAACGATAACATGATAATTTTTAAAAAGAATTTTTGATAGTGTATTTAGCAGTCAAGTGAAAGATGACTTTCAGACAAACTGATGGTGTACTCACAATTATTACTTCATTTGATGACATGTTACCGATTCCTCCGCTTTTGCGAAATAAATAATTTTAAGTTGTGATAATTTTATCGACTTCTACGAAATTGCAAAAATTAGATTTATATGAAGATAAATGGTTCGAATTTTAATTTTTGCGAACTGTCATCTGAATCTGTTTCATGATGTTTTATACAAAATGACTTGTCTCACCGCATTCAATCAACGCAATTCATAGCAAATTAAATTCTTCTACCGTGAACCAAACGCTAAAAATTGGATTAAGTCAGTAAGTCAGTATTAAACATGTTCGTTGTCAGAGGAATGATGTTGCCTGAGATCAGACATTGATCCTTGCAAATGAACAGTAAGAACTGTTTGAAACTTTTGGTGTGTGTGGAGGCATTAAGTGATTTATGAGAAGACCGTGAACCACAGTCAGCAGTTCACATATTTATAAGATATACTCAATCGATGCATTTACACTGGAGCATGGATATTCATTTTGACACTCAAAAGCAGTCTCAAATAAGTCTCATATATTGTTGTTGACAATTAACCAACAATCACAAATAACCAATGTTCTGTGTTTGTCATATAGATTGAAGTTAAATGGATAAATAGTCAATCCATATATGTTATAATGACTATGCCGGAACACAAGAAACTATAAAAACTACAAATATTATTTAACTGAGTATTTCACTTGATTTCAGGCGAAATTTTTATCTGATTCATGGAATCAACAGATGAGAAGTAATGTAGGATGACTGTCGAAAACTTACGCGAATAAACCAGCAATCATTATCTGCTCGATTAGGTGAGTTTGAGATAAAATATGTCCCGCAATGCTGGAAGGATAACATAATTATTTACTGAGTAATTTACGATTGAGAAAACACGATCACAGTGACGAACGTGATGACTATTTGTATTGTAGTTAAAATGAGAACCTGTAATCACGGACAACCATAAATGAAAACAACAGATTACTTTGATTGTGTATGAGGATACAACCATCAAACGATCTGGATTCGTTAACTTATACACTTGAAATTTTGAAATGTACGTGCATGGGAAAGATGGAACAACTGCAGACATTTTTGAAAACTTGACCTGTTTAAAACAAGAGCATCAAATATTTATTTCAATGTTTCACTGAAATGCCATGAAGTTAATATAATTTGACATGTTAGTAAATGTGATTATGAATAATATTCTGTACGTGGTTGTTGAAGTGATTATGTATCCATCAACAGTGTGAATCGCTTTGCAGCAGACATAAACAAATACAAATGGCGAGGTCGAAAATCAACGTGGTCTACTTGCAACAATGTCTGTCAGTGAAGAGCTTCAGTGTTATTATCTATCAAAAACCTTTCTAACCTGACATTGGAATCAGTGATAAAAGTAAAAAAATTGTCCCCTTACTTATGCTTGTCATCTGGGAAGGGTAATATATTTTTGATTAGCATCCATCAGTCGACTTTCAATCAAGATCCCTTTCATAGTTTTACCAACACGCTATTCATTTTTTCCAGGTCTGTATCTATTACTTGGCGAAATATATCCTTGGATCTTCATAATTTCAGTTGTATGCGAAGCTTCAGAATGATGACTTGAATCATGACACAGATGTTTTCTGTTCATCGGATCTGGAGAATTCCTCTCAGGCATCTGTTCACGAGGTTTATACCGAATAGTTTCGTACACATTCGATACAGTTGAACTGTGATGACATATGTTTAGCTCTCCTCAATTTACTATTTTGCAGCTTGATCCGACGTAAAAGAAATAATGAAATTATGAATACACTCCATATTGGCTCACTTCCAATATAATCCTTCCTTCTGCTCAGAAAAAGTTTCCACTTACCCACTAATATAACATTCAGAAATCATTTCGTACAATGGCAGTTATGACAGAGAATCACTTATCTTGAATGAACTCACCTAAAAACTTATCATAGCTCGTCTTGTCATAAAATCTCATTTATACAACAATGATCTTTGCCTTTAGATGAGAGCAGAGTACAAAAACAGATAGAAGAATAGATATTTCTATAACGTTGTGTGGTAGATACTTTTAAATAGGACAGTAATCATGTGTATTTTTGAGACAAATAAAAAACAACAATTCAAAACGAATACTCAACTGTAATACATTCGCAAATCAAAAATCAGCATTGTTTGGTATTAGGATAGAATAAAGTTTACTTTTTCGATCGTGCGAGTAATTCTGTAAACACGGTCTTGAAACTCTGTATGTTGTGCCCATGAAGTCAAGTGTCGTTATATTACTTGTCTTATTTTCTGACATGATAAAAATTCAACATTTCGAAATCAGTTACAGAAACAGTAACTCTGTAAAACTAAAAAAGAGTTTCAAACCTACTTTTTATATTATCAGAGGTTTTGGGATCAAAATGAAGCAACATGTGGCCTCCTTTATATTTGTGTGAAAGAAACTGCGAGGAGAGCCATATCGACAAGGGAATTTCACGTTAACCAAATAGGTGCCACATTCAAACAATGGTAACATTTGTGACGTGATGGATCAGTCTCAACCGGATATTGAAATTTATGCAATGAGATTACTTGTGTTCAATAATTCCCAAGTATTTTTTCTAGATATCACAAAAAAAATGGTATTGGGTGGGCCGCTGATGTGAGGATAATTAGGTTTCTCTTTGCACCATTACTCTTACAGCATTTAATTTTTCCGTAAACGTCTGAAGACTATTTCACATCTTAAGCCGCAATTTGCTTACTACTCTCAAGATGCTCATCATTCACCAGGTTGAAAATGTTTTCGCGATAAGTGTACACAATCACAGAATCTTCAAGCAGATCGTTATCTCAACCCATATCACTCTCAATGCTGTGGTGTGCACACATCTGACATTCAATATATATAATTTTGAAAACATCAGCACAACATTTAAAGACCGCTTAGGCATACTCAAAGGTCAACACTTTGAAGGTAACTAAAATACACAGAAAATAAGCAAATATATGAGCCTAATAGCGTTAGTTCGTTCCGTATGGTTTCAATCTCGTCAGGTGCTGACAACCTGCAATTATTACAAATCGGAATGTTCTATGCGGCATTTGAAGCAATCATATAGGATTATTGCAAAGAAAGCGAATAGTTAATTTAGACAGACAGACGTCAATATAAGAGCCCTAACTGATAGCACAAAGTTGCTACATGATGGGCAAACAGTAAAAATAAAGATAGTGAGGCACATCTGTTTAAAATCAGGCTCGTATGTTTAGGTTAACAGCTCAAAAGCGCAATTGTTTGGAAAAGAAAGAGTAGAACGAACTTTGAAGATATGATGAGTACATTTTCATAACTATCACTTTTCGAACACATGATTCAGGCTTCGGATGCCTAATGACATCAACATTTAGAATGAACCGTGAGAGTTTTGATCTCGACTGGTTTCTTTTAACTTTTGGACATTGTGATATATCAACTTCACGTCCTCTTGGCAACCACTGCAACAAGGCTTGAAATAGGTTGAGAGCACTTAACTACATGATTAGTTTATATTGAGATAAGTCAGTGTTTTTAGATAGTGGCTCATTATCTCGTGCTCCTGAAGTTTTTGTTGATAGAAAAAAGTCTAGAAGCGATATGACTATAATTATCAATGTTGTGAATATCGATTGTGGTAAATATTATAACAAACAAATTAGTGTTCTTTATTCTTCTTCACAACAACTTGATTCTGAAATGAGTGTTATAATGTTTGAATATGTCTCATAGACCCTAGTATATTTTGATTACCACATGCAAACAATCTTTGATATTGCGCTTTAAGTATGTTAAACATTAAGTAAGTTTAACTCTATTGTCCAGAACTGAATGCCTGTCAATTATGTCGGCAGGCTAAATAAGCCACCTAAATGAAATGAAATAACGTAAGCATCGCTAGCTTCCGTGTACAGAAAAATTTTGAGAAGTGAATAATAATGAAATATTTGGATCAGTAACTGAAGACGGTCAGGTTGCGATTCCTCACATTTGAATAACTTACTAAAACACTAGCATTTTCGTTACCAGACAGATGATCGTTTGTATGTTGTTAAACATCCAAAGTCCATATAAAACATGAATAAACCATCATCAATATGAGTTTACGAAATCATGTTTATTGCTTTTCAGGAAAGCAGCTATTCGGTCTCAGTATTGTAGCAGAGATATTATTATTAATTGAAGTTTAATTTGTCTACGTTTTATTTCTAACAAACATACTTCTATCTACTATTTTGAAGAGAGTATGTATGCAGCCGATTTGAGCTAATCACATCAGGACATTTTCTGTTTCGTTACTGGCGTACCAAAACTTGAGCGGAATCTAATATTGTTGATAGTTTATCATGTAAAACATTTCCATAAAAAAAAACTGAATATCTGTTGTGAACAAGACATCTAGTGGAAACTTCGCATTCCTCAAAAGTAATAATAAAAGAGTCGAGATTAAACTTTCCGAAGTTTATTCAAAATGCTGTCTCATCACAGCACCTCGAAATGATTCGCGTGTTCGAAACGT